TTGTTTTTCAAAGCAGTGTAGTATTCCATTGTGTGAATATACCATAGCTCCTCTATCCATTCATTTGTTGATGGGCACTTAGGTTGTTTCCATCTCCTTGCTATTGTGAACAAAGCCCCAATAAACATAGGTGTGCATATAACTGCTTGGATGTCAGTTATGGTCTCTTTGTGGTATATTCCCAGCAGTGGAATGGCTGGCTCGAATGGTATTTCTATTTGCAACTTTTTGAGAAAGCTCTCCCACGAACAGTGAATAAGGGTTCCAGTTTCTCCACAACCTCGCCAGCATTTGTTGCTTGCTGTTCTGTTAAATTTTGCAATTCTGACTGGGGTGAGATGATATGTCATAGCTGTTTGGGGGTTGAAATTCAAGTTCTGAATAGAGTTGTGTAATCTTGATGGGCTCTATCAGCAATTCTTCTCCAGTTCTGTCATCAGTAAAATGTGATAACAAGAATTCTAGTCCATAGAGTGGTTGTCAGGGTTAATTGAGGCTGTTATTGTTATGTGCCATCTAGTCATCTGCGACTCATAGTGACCCTATATAAAAAAGCCCTGAACTCTGCCCTATGCTGAGCAAGTCTCAGTGACTCTGACACATCTATCTCCATTATCCTGGTCACCGAGTCAATCCATCTCATCTGGGGTCTTCCTCTCTTGCGCTGTTCCTCCACCCTTCCAAGCATGATGTCCTTTTCCAAAGACTGGTCCCTTCTGGCCACATGTGCAAAGTATGTGAGATGGAACTTCAAAATTGTAGCCTCCAAGAAGAAACCTGGTTTCAACATCTCTAGGATAGACCTGTTTGTTCTCCTGGCAGTCCACGGTATGTTCAACACTCTTCTCCAGCAACACACTAAGCAATACACAAAAAGTGCCTCCTCCAATTAACTGTTACTGTTGTCTCCCTCAGTCTACCCTCCCTTCTCTTCACAACCACTGCTGATTGTGCAGAGCGAGCCTGTTTTATTCATCTTTATAGTTCCTTGTTGTTATTTGCTCTCAAGTTGAAACCAACCCACACCTGACCCTCTGGTGGGTTTTCATTGGCAGTTAATTGTGCGGGAGGACACTGTCCATCCGTCTCCTTTGGAGCTGCTGGTGGATTCAAACTGCATGCCTTTGGGATTGCAGCGCAGCCGCCATGATCTTTGCAATCACTTGTTATGCATCAGAGAGCTGGACAATGACCAAGGAGGATAGAAGGAGAATTGATGCTTTTGAGCTTTGGTGTTGGAGAAGAGTGCTGAAGGTGTCATGGACTGCTAAGAGAAGAAACAGATTCATCCTGGAGAGGGTTAAAACGGGCTGCTCCTTGGAGGCAAGGATTCTGAGACTTCACCTGACATACTTTGGTCATGTTGTAAGGAGAGACCGGTCCTTGGAGAGGGACATTATGCTTGGGAGTGTGAGTTACTGCTTGTGTTTTGCTGAACTTCATCTCTGAGGTGGGACTCCTGGCTGGGTCTGGACGTCAGCATCGGATCAGAAGTCCACGTGAGTCTCATTTCCACTTAGGAACTGTAAAATTTGAGTATGTTAAGAACCCTCTGAAATGCTCATGTCTTCATTGGTAAAATGTAATGAGACATTTTCACATCCTAATGAATATGCCAATATAAGACAGTGTTTGCCGTTTTATTTTGTTTACCTTGAAGCTCCTGAGATATGTTGTTGTTGTTGTTATGTGCCGTCAAGTCGCTTGCGACTCATAGCGACCCTATGTGCAACAGCTCTAAACTCTGCTCCATCCTGTGCTAATCTCATTGCCTCCGACACACTCATCCTGATTGCCCCAGTCACCGAATCAATCCATCTCTCAGAGGGCCTTCGCCTCCTGCTCCTGTCCTCCACCCTCCCAAGCATGATGTCCTCCAAGGACCGGTCTCTCCTTACAACATGACAAAAGTATGTCAGATGAAGCCTCAGAATCCTTGCCTCCAAGGAGCAGCCTGGTTTAACCCTCTCCAGTATGAATCTGTTTCTTCTCTTAGCAGTCCATGGCACCTTCAGCACTCTTCTCCAACACCAAAGCTCAAAAGCATCAATTCTCCTTCTATCCTCCTTGGTCATTGTCCAGCTCTCTGATGCATAACAAGTGATTGCAAAGACCATGGCCTATACCAGATGCACCTTTATCTCCAGAGACACACCGTTGCTCTTGAGCACTTTAGAGAGGTCCCTAACAGTAGACTTTCCCATGGCAATATGTCTTTTCATTTCCTGGCTACTGGAGCCAAGAGTGTTGATTGTGGAGCCAAGGAAACTAAAGCTGTGAACAATCTCAATCTCTTCACCATCCATCCTGATGCTGCCAATTGGTCCAGTGGTGAGAATCTATCTCCTGAGATATAGAATATATAAATACTCTACTTGGCTCTTCTTTCAATGTTAGCCAGATCTCTGAGCTCTGTGATTTGTTTGCAAACAATTATCTCCAATATCAAATGCATTTTCCTCATGGACCTCCACTCTGCCTTTTTTTGGGGCAAATGATGCTCTTCTCGCTGTCTGTCTGAGTGAATGTCTGGTACCCAGGGCCTGGGTCCTGACCTGAGCATGATCTCTGTGACCTCAGGGTTCCCTGTGACAGGAGCAAGGTCAGTCCCAGTGTCTCCCCAGCCTCCAGATTCCCATTTTTAAAGATGGTCAGAAGGTTGGCTTTGCAGTTCCCCAGACAAGGACTCCACCACTTGCTTATTTCTTGC